ACTTGTCTTCGGTTCGGAACAGGGTGGAATTTTCCCCATAATTTTTATTTCCGATTTACAATCTCCCGCCTTCCGAACAGATTTTCAGGAACCAATTGGGTTCGGATACCAGGGTATGAGTGTAGAAATACAGGGTTACTTCAACTCATTAAGGCCTCGTGCCTGTTCTGAAGTGGAGAAGACCACCGTGTGATGGAGACAAAGCTGAAACCCTCCCTGTGGTCATGCCCTGTACGCCCCACTGCCCTGGGGAGCCTGCACGTACCTGCATGTCAGTCTCTCGACTTGCCCCGCCACTCCGCTCCACGTTCAGGGCGTCCTCCAGGGACTTCCGCTGCGTCTCCTTCTCCGCCAGCCTGCCAACATCGCCACAGTCAGCATGACTGGCACCGAGCACACACTCACACTGACCACGGGGCGCGGAGGTCGTACAGTGAACTGGTAACTAAAACTGCCTTCTCGCCTGACTCAACGTTGTGCAATAATATAGCTGCATATATAGAAACTTTCAATGCCTCTGCCATTTCCTGTATTGGGTGGCAGGCAGCATCTCTGAAATCGAAGAATTCAGGAAGCGACAACAATGGTTCTTTCTCCCCGTCTCTAGAGCCCTGTGCATCACTGTACCCCAGTCAGTCAGACTCACAGCTTCTGCAGCTCCTCCAGCTGTGAGGTGGTGGAATTCTGGAGAAAAAGAGGCAAGCAATTAGCAGGGGGCGGGCATACAGACACGCATACAATTATATAAATGCAAACAGTAATAGGGCTGTCAATTTGAAAGGTTGTACCTGAGCAGCGATCTGAGCTTGCAGACTTTCAATCTGAGCCGCTAAATTTTTATTCTCCTGCAGCAGATCCTGCAAAGAACAAAAAAAAAAAGTTACATGCAGTACAGGACATGCAAGACATGCAACACCTAACAAATGACTGGACTGAGTTAATAATTGCAACATATAATGGAAAAAACATTTTTACTTAGATTATGGATGAACAAATTGGTCAAATATTGGTTACGATGGGTTAAATACATTTTACCTTTTAAGTCTGAATTTGTCAAGATACAGAACAGCAGTGTTGTTGAATTAAAAATTTATATTTAAAATACTTTTCTCCCTCTTACCTTACTCTGAATGTACGTAGTTTGGTTAGAAGCGAGCAAAATATTAAGGGAACAGATAACAATAGACTAAATTTTCATGTATGCTGTATATCTGCAAATTTGTATTGTAAAAGGATGATGTGTGTGGGATGTCATTTGTACTTAAAATGGTTTTATTTGTTCTCTAAAATAAAACAAACACCTGCTTTGTAAGACCTACAATAACCTGACAACAGGGTAACTTAAGGTTTAAAATGAACAGTTCAAACTTTGCAAGCATCCGGATGAATGTTACAGTTTTCCAGCAGGAGAAAGGTCTTGTTACAGTACCCATCTATATCTGAAAAGGAACAGGTGAAGGTTTATTCCATGCTGAAAAGAAAAGAGACAACGTCTTGGCTGTGGAACCTTTTTCAGGTGGCTATAAGAAAACACAAGACTGTTCCCAGTCTACTATAAACCCTAATCTAAAATGACACCTGAAGAAGGCCTTTACCAGTTCCTTTGTAGCCTACGCATGCTGATGCCGCTCCCTACTGGAACTTCTTCAGACCTATAACTGGCCAACTAAAAACTTCAGCACTTCCTAATTCTTACTGGCATCCAGTCCGGTAACTTTCAGCATTTTCAGCTTCCAGTTCTGAACCACAACTGCAGTTCTAACTGCAGGAGGGTTTCTGTAACAGTCCAGTTAAAGGTCCCTGCGCCTATGGCCCACTCGGTCGCGTGTTAAAGCCCAGGGACCGGACCGGGTGCAGTTCGTCCCGGCTGCCTGGTACCTGAAGCGCGTCGTCAGGCCGGCTGTGTTGCGAGGCCTCCAGGAGCTGCAGCATCTTCTGCTCCACCTGGTCCTTGGAGACCATGGTGTCGGTCAGGTTGCTGCGCAGAGTCTGGATATCCTTGTTCTTGCCGTTGATCTCCGACTCCAAAGCCATCAGCTTGTTCTGCAGCTCTGCAAGGTGTGGACACCACCAGCTCAGCTGCATCCCGCCAACCCCGAGGCTACACTGAACGCCACGGCGCAACCAGCCGGACGCCTGCTGCGGGGGCCAAGTCTTCGCATCGAGCCCCTGTGGCTGCTAGCGATCAGGTCTCAAAGGACTCTGCCTCTTCTGGCTAATTCTATTATTCCTCAGATTGGAAACGGTCACAGCGTTTCCCAAAGCAAAGCAAGGAATGCTAAGAACCTAGGGTGAGGCGAGGATACACTATAAGAAAACACAAGACTCTTCCCAGTCTATTAAAAACCCTAATCTAAAACATAAGGGTCTTCTAACCTAAGGGCAAAATATACACAAGAATAAGGATGTTCTCAACTAACACTGACGCACAAGGCAAACTTTTCCAATTACACAGAAACCAATTAGCCTCCATATGGCACCTTGCTTGGCAGCCTTCAGTTTCTCGTGCTCGGTGTTGACGCTGTGCAGGTATCCTTGGACCTCCTCCCAGCGCAGCTTCGCATCCTGCAGCTGGGCCTGAGCAAAAAGGGAGAAACATGTGAAAAGAATCCTTACCCATTACCCTGCCTCCTTCCAATCCAACACAGCCTGCCACACTGTTCCTCTTCCCAGTGCTAGCCTCCAGTCTTAGGAAGCAGGTAAGTGCCCATGCTTCCCTACTACTCTGGTACCTCGAGCTGGGAGACGTTCTGGTTGTAGTTGACCTCCAGGGTCTTCCTCTGCAGCTCCTCCTGCTGCAGCTTGCTGGTCTTGTCCGTCAGCTCTTTCACCAGCTGCCCATAATCCGACCGCAGCTTGTTGAGCTCCGCCGACTGCCTACGGCACAGGGAGACAAGCACATCGGACACGTGGGCAGACAAGCAGATAAACCTTCCTCATAGAAAGCTGAGCAAGGCTGGGCCTGGTCAGTACTGAGCTAGGAGACCTTTAAGGAAAAGCAGGGCGCAGCTGGTTTCGGTGGACTAGTATTCAGCAGCATTTCCTCTAGACTAGAATTTCCAGCTGAGCGCCCTGGTATGGTGACTGGGGATCACTGTTCGTAGGAGGTGCTGTCCTTCTGCACCGTTAAACCAAGGTCCCAACTATTCGATTGTTAAAAATCCCAGAGTGCTGTTCAGGAAAAGTAGGGGTGTTAACCTCGGTGTCCTGGCTACCTTCCATTCCGACTCTAGCCAAATGTTCCTGCTTGATTCAGCCCTGGCAGCAGTTTCTCACTGTCAATGTCTGTGTTTAAGCTGGGTGATCACATGAGGGCGATTCATAAAAATGCCCAACCTGCTGTGTAGTGTGGTGGCTGCCACTCATCACTCAGGTGGGGGCTGCACTTCAGGAGTGAATGAAGTAGGTCCCCACCTATACGCAAAGCATTCTGGGATGCTTTGGGTTGAAAAAAGTGCTATAGAAACATAATGAACTATAAATCCGTGTCCACTGGGGTGAGGGGAGGTGTGTTGCCCTCAGGGGAGGTAGAGCAGGGTGGCATGAGAGGGTCACTCACTTGGTCTCAATCTGGGTGGTGGCTGTGCTGACGGCATCTCTCAGGATCCCATTCTCCTGCTGCAGGCGGGCGATCTGACCCTCCAGCTGCTCCCTTATCTGCTGGAACTGAACACAAGAGATCATGTCAGGACACTAGAGGGGCAGAAAAGACACAACAGCCAGACACCAACTTACAGAAAGGCAAGAGAGAAACTACAAGCTGCAATGGAGCAAAGCATACAAAGCACGATGACCCAGATCTGGATTGCATGAAAAGCACAAACCCAACATTTCACGAATCCCTGGGTTAACGGAAGACGCTCTAGCAAACGGAACCCTGCCGTCAGAGGCAGGGTTTGTAACCTGCAACAGGAATGCATGTCAGTTGTGATATAGTCCACCTTTTCTTTTGCCAGAAAAAAAAAATCAACCCTGGAATTAAAACGGCAAGAAGAAAATATCTTCATGCAAGACGTGAGACGTGAGAACGCCCGCGCCCGTACCTTCATCTGCGCGGCCTGCGCCTCCTGGAAGCTGCCCTGCGCCTTGACCTGGAGCACGCCCAGATCTTTCTCCAGGGCGCCCCGCTGCTCGCGCCACATCGCCTCCGCCCTCATGCCCTTCTGCTTCTCCGCCAGCAGCTCCTGGCCCGCAGGAAGAGAAACGCACTGGTTTTTAAAGAGAGACGGGCAGCCAAACTGGCGATGTCCAACTGAATCTCTAATACAACGACGGAACAGGCAGAGGTTTATTCACACCTGAAAAGGGGCTCTGCAGCCAAGACGTTGTGCCTCTTTTCTTTTCTGCAAGGGATAAACCCGGGCGGAGCGGTGGCTCTGTGGCTAAGGATATGCGCCTGTGACTGGAAGGTTGCCGGTTCAAATCCCGTGGCCGGCAGAGGAATCCTACTCCATTAGGCCCCTGAGCAAGGCCCTTAACCCTAACTGCTCCAGGGGCGGCGTACAATGGCTGTATAGGGCTAATAAACCTTTACCTGTCCCTTTGCAGCCTACGCACGCTGACGCAGCTCCCCTTGAACGTCTTTACCACAGCAGCCCTGCCCTCCCTCCGTGCCACCACAGCATGCATCACGGCAGGATTGTTTTAAGTCTCGCCAGGCCTGCCTTTTCGCCGCCACTCAAACACCGCGTACAATTCCAACCTCTGCCTATGCCAGGCAGGTGCTCTTATCCCAAGTCGCCCCCTGCACCCCCCATTCCCCACACGCCTCTCCATGGGAACCGGGAGTGTGGAGGGACAGCCGCGGCACGGCCAGGCCAGATTCACACGCCTGACAGGGCGCTGCTCGCTCCCACCCTCTTCCACCGGTGCTCCAGGGCCTGCGAGGACTGTCAGGAAATGGGATTTGAAATAATAATAATAATGTTGTGCTTCAAAGGGAGCGTGGAAACAATAGGGCTGGGCTGTGTTGATAGCTGCCGGCCGGGACTATAATCCTGAGAAAGGGGCTCGAAACAGGTTTCGCTCCATCACCGCGAGGCTTGGAGGACGGCCAGGGGTTGACGTCACTCGAGGGCGAGGAGGGAAGTACCTGGTTGAGTTGCTTGACCTTCTCCTTGGCGATTGAGGCCTCCTCCTGCACAGTAGCAAAGAGCCTCTCCCTCTCCTGGAGCTGCTGGGCAGAGGGGTCAGACTTCATGACCGACTGCGAGCGGAGAGAGGAAATGGGAAACAGCGCGTCAGTGGGCAAGGGATGGACAGAGCAGGCCGGGAATCGGACAGCCGTGGAGGGTAAAAGATGGGAGAGAGGACAGAGCGCCTGAGGGTCTGAAGAGGGGAGGAGAGAGGACAGAGTGCCTGAGGGTCTGAAGAAGGGAGGAGAGAGGACAGAGCGCCTGAGGCTGAGTGAGTGAGTGAAGGGCAAGTGGTCAAAGAGTCATAGAAATTCAGATTTGCTGAAATGAAACAAAGAAAGTGAAGGTGCTGTCTATGACAAACTCTCCCCATCACAGGCAACTGTCCACACTGGGATACGCACACCCCCCCCAGACTTTATACCAGCCTTCCAGTTCCCTGCCCACTGTGGGCACTCACCTTGTGCCAGGCATCCAGGGCAGCGGGGCACTTGTCCCTCAGTACGTTGACCACGCTCAGAAGGTCGCTGTCCGAGAGAGCCAGGCTGCGCAGGCCGCCCAGCAACTCCTTCAGCCTCACCTCCGAGTTCCCTACAGAGAAACACCCACGTAAGGAGATCCTTTCGGACTCGCAGGCCTGCTCAGTAAAAGCGGCTTTCATTCTTTCTGAAGAGCCCGTGTGGGGATGGTATAACAGATGCCAAGCTTCCTTAATTCTTTTGCCTTTTACAAATGGACCTGGGTGCATGATCGCTTGGCCCTGCTGTAGAAAAGTGGCTGCCTGCTGTAGAGAAGAGGCTGCCTGCTGTAGAGAAGAGGCTGCCTGCTGACAGATCGCCCCGGGGTACCTTTGTCCGGCTCATTCTTCTGTTTCTTGGCGCTGGTCTTGGCCGGCGTGTCCCCGCTGGGGCCTTTCTGGGGCGCGGCAGGGTCGTTGTCCATCAGAGGGATGTACACTGCGGCCTGGAACGGCGGCTCGATGACCAGCGCTGCAGGAAAACCGCACGCAGCTCACAGAGTGCACCTACGCCCCATCCACTCGCTCCGCGAGGCCACCGCCCAGCCCCCCGACACCCCAGAGCTCACCCAGCTTCACCCGACAACCCCAGCGGCCCATCGCCACCCCCACCTGGCTCGGCCTTCTGCTTCTTGGGAGCCGTCTTCTTCTTGAGTGGTGCGCCGTCATACAGTTTTGTTTCCGGAGGGGGCGGCGAGGGCTCCTTCCTTACAGGCCCTGGGGCTGCATCCAGTCTGATCTCCGGCGGGAGCTCATCTGCTACGGAGAGGAATAAAGCTCAGCTGCGGGAACGGACAGCACCACGGCAGAGGGCAGGACGCAGCACAGACCGCGCACAGCA